GATATACAATAGGAGTGGATTTTTTAAAAAATATTTGTTCAGGGTCTTCGATAAAAAAAGTGGTCTACTATAGACATGGATTTAAAAAAATATATATTTTTAGGTAGTACCATTTGATATTTTTGGGTATCCTTCCCTCCTTGCATGCTTCGGAAATGCTGCTTTGAAAATTCCAACTCATGATGATTATAATTTCCTTCATTACTCAGTATTTTTTTGTCGGAGAATTTTTTTCTACAAAGCCACTTGTTTGCCTTAGAGTAACAACAACAACATGAGTGAAGTAACTCGGTACCGAAAAAAAATCGGAAACATGATTTCATGTTAATGAATCATTAGTAATTTTTAATGATGTTGTTAATATTCGAGCGAGTTAAAGCCAGGGCAAATTGGGGAAAAACAAATTTCTCCAAAGAAAAAAGAGAACAAGAAGAGAAAAACGAAACGAAAAAACTACCAAGCACCCCTCCCCCACCTTCTGGAACGGAAGTGTTGCTAATTTGTAACTAATTATGTTGTTGAGATTGCTGGGCCACCCTATTCTCACCCTACGAAAATCCAACAAAATTTCACAGGAGGTGCCCGACAGGCAAAATACTCAAAGGTTGAAGAGTGCTTTTGACATATGAGAGTACTTAACACAGATATCCTTTTTCCGCTGACACAGACACACGCACCTTAAGGCGTACACACTTACATATATTTTAATACGGAAATAACACACATACACATACTCATACATACCTTTATAAATTGAAATGTCGCCATGGGCGGCAAACGTTTACTTTTCGGATAGAAAAAACTACCCGCCGGATGTGCGGGATAACGTGATGTTATACGATAGATAACACCCTGCGGCGATGTTGGCCAATTGGGAGCGGTGAAGGTGAAGCCATTATCGGTGCCAGCATCCAAGGGGTCCATTTCCACGGTGACAGTGTCGATCCAGGAGCCACCAACACAGAGCTGAAAAAAGGAACAGAAAAAAAGGTTAATAGAAAAAATGGATTATTCAGTCCCCAGAATTTTTTATTTAAAGAAACAATCAGAAGAATTTTTTCTATAAACAAAACATTTCAGGGGACCAAAGTTTTCTATTCTGAGGATTTTTTTTTCTATAATAAAAACACCTGAGGAGACCTGACAATTTTTTTCTATAGAAAAAAACCACTCAGCAAGGCTGACGATTTTTTTCTATAGAAAAAAACACCTCAGGGGACCTGAGGAATTTTTTCTATAGAAAAACAGACCTCAGGAGAGCTGACGAATTTTTTTCTATAGAAAAACAGACCTCTGGAGACCTGACGAATTTTTTTCTATAGAAAAACAGACCTCAGGAGACCTGACGAATTTTTTTTTATAGAAAAACAGACCTCAGAAGACCTGACGATTTTTTTCTATAGAAAAACAGACCTCAGGAGACCTGACGATATTTTTTTTCTATAGAAGAACAGACCTCAGGAGACCTGACGATTTTTTTTCTATAGAAGAACAGACCTCAGGAGACCTGACGTTTTTTTTTTCTATAGAAGAACAGACCTCAGGAGACCTGACGAATTTTTTTCTATAGAAAAACAGACCTCAGGGGACCTGAGGAATTTTTTTCTGTAGAAAAACAGACCTCAGGAGACCTGACGATTTTTTTCTATAGAAAAACAGACCTCAGTAGACTTGACGAATTTTTTCTATAGAAAAACAGACATCAGGAGACCTGACGATTTTGTTTCTGTACAAAAAATCAACTCAGGGGACTTAATAAATTTGTTTTTTTAAGAAAAAAGATTAATATTCCTGTCAGAATCACAAAAAAATATTCTGAGACCTCTGTGCGTATGACTATTGTCACAACGTATACGCCACCCTATCTACCAAAGAAAAAATTGTTTATGTTTGTAGTGCTTCTATAGGAAATAGAGAACCCTGTAATATGAGGATTTTTTCTGTAGAATAAATCGCCACTGTATTGGGGAAATTTTGCTATTAAGCAACTTAAAGTAGAGGTCCTTTGTGCGTACGGATATTGTCGCAACGCATACGTTACCATTCGTTAAGGTACTGATGATTTATTTTCTACTGAGGAAAATATTGTGTTTTCTCAGTTCTGCCTTCCCACTCCCCATAATTTACATGTCTACCCTTTCTTAGCCGTGCCATTGAGTAATTTGTTACCTGTAACCTTTTCTTAAATTAAACTATCAATTTATTTCTTCAGAATGCCCTCCACCCCGCCTCATTACAACATTGGTAAACATCCATTGTTGATGACCACTTACCTGAAATGAATCGACCCCTATAAACCAATCCGGCGATGGTACGATGCGTGTCATTAATGACACCAAACTGTGATTGCTATCGACAAAGAATTTTGCCTCGCTGCGACCCGCACCCTGGTTAATGGCCGGCAAATTGAATTCATCGAAAATGTTACGTTCGCCGGTCGGAACAGCTGTCGGCGTATTATGATTGTTGCGTGTTGTTGTAGACGTCGATGCGGACGAGGACGATGAGGATGTCGTGCTAGATGATGTAGATTTCTGTGATTGTTGTTTTTGTTGTTGCATTTGCAGTTGTTGCTGTTCGCCTAATTGTGTGTCCAATATTTCACTTTTACCCGTTTCGGCAAATTGTTTAACACCGGATGTTGCCTGTTGGCCGATGTGATATAGAGCATATTTGGCGTCATGTGTACGTCCTGCAAAGAGAATGAAGAAATGAAACGAATCAATAAGTGGGGGTAGTTAGGGGTTTCGGAAGCAATTGCTGGCAAATTGCTGTAATTTAAAAAAAAATCGGAGCTATTTAAATTTTTAATATGGAGGAACAAATGAACCTCTGTTTTAGTGGCTATAATTTGTTTTCAGTTGAAATAGATTATATTGGATTAATGGGAATACAAATAACTAGAATATATTTACTAACTTGCGGGCTAATGGTAATTACACTAGATAACCAGTTATGCCAGTAAAAAGGGTTGTGGCGAATGGAGTGATTGATTTTTAATGTCATAATTATTTTTTAACAAAATCTCCTCCCACACCATTTTCATATCCGATGAGAAATATTAAATTCTAAGCAAAATTATTAAAGGGTACCTCAGTGCGTATTAATATTGTCAGAACGTATACGCCACCATTTCTCCTAAAGCAATCCATTTTTTCTTTGTAGTAATGTGGATTTTTTCCAGGGTAGAGACAATTTTTTACAAAAGAAGACTTCCTTATGTTACAGTGAATTTTTTTATAAAAAAATCCTCAGTACGTCTCTGAAAGGAGTCCGAGGGCGTACTGAAGGATTTTTTTTCTATAGAAAAAAGAGTCCGTACAAAAAAATCGTCACTAACCTGAGAAATTTATTTATTTTTTTTATTTTATTTATTATTTAGTGCGTATGACTATTGCCGCAACGTATACAACATCAATACTCTCATTAAAATTAATAATCAACTTTTCCTTTAGTGCAACTGAGGAATTATTTCAGGGTGCTGGTGATTTTTTTCTAAAAAATCCTTTTGAGTACTGAGAAAATTTTTCTGTAAAAAAGGTGTCCTCAGGGGAATGAGAACTTTTTTCTCTATGAAAATAAGAGTTCCCTGGAATGCTGTGGAATATTTTCACAGATTCGATTCTTTTCTATAGACCAAAATTTTCACCGTTTGCTGGGAATTTTTAATTAATAAACAATTTATTCCTGGAAACCTCTCTATTTATGAATTTCTTCTATGGGACCTTAGTGCGTATAAATACTGTCGCAGCGTATACGCCACCATACCTCTCAAATAAAAACTGCTCTATTTAACAAATTCTGTATTGTTTTTTTATTTTTATTAATTGTGATAAATTTCTGCAGGATATAATGCTATGGAATGTTTTTCATATTTTTAAAGGAGTCATACTATTTCGACAAAAACTAAACCTAAGTTTATTTTGGAATTTTGTCCATAAAACGACTCCCAAGATTATTGAAAAAAATTAGTTACACAAATTCCACCTCTGAGATTTTCTACAGAAAAAAACCTTCGATCATTGAGGACTTTGGTTTATATTTATCAATTTGGTTTAAAGGACCTCAGAGCGTATGACTACTGTCACAACGTATACGTCAAGAAATCTCCAAAGAGATACTCCTCTATTTACCAAAATATACTCTAATTTTTTGTATGTAAATATAAATTTAAAAAATTTTTAAAGACTATAATTATTCCTTTTCTTTTGGATACCATCATGATAATTTAAAATTAGCAACGTCAACTAAAAATAATGCAAAAAATAATATTTTTCAAATAACTCTTCTCTGTCATATACGTATAACCACAAAAAATAACATATTATGATTGCAATTGACCATATAATATTTAAATAACTGAATGATACGTTTATTAATTTTTTTTACTACTTTATACAAAAAATAAAATATGTTTGGTAGTTTATTCCAGAGCACACACGCACAGACACAAATATATCCATAACCATATTTCGAGAGTATTATTTTATTATTATTATCCCAGCCAGCAACAGCTGTACAATATATATATTGGTTCAGATCATCTCCACCAGCATTTGCAGATGTGAGTATGTGAGGAAATAAAACAACAATAGTCATTATTATGCAAGGGATTTATAAATATATCTGAGAGGCTTATACATATATATCTGTAGTATATAAAATTGCAAATATAATTTATTCCTGGATAAGTTCCTGCACTTATGTCGGCATACAGTTATTATTATTTTATATGTGGAAGTTGAACAAAATAAAAACATATTAAAGTATTAAATATTATTTACTTAATTCACAAAATGCAAATGTTGAAGAGAAAGCAAAGAGATAAAATAAAAAAATATGGTATTAATTTAATTTAGGCAATTAGTTGAAGGGGGGAAAATATATTATAGAGTCTATAAAACTTAAATTAAAAAAATTGTTCTTATTTAAGAAGATTTAAATTATAAGACTATATAATTCAAATAAATATTAAAAAAAAAAAAATTTTCTTTTTAAAGAATTAGTATTGAAATCAAAGGAATTGAAATTATGAAAGGTGGTGACGTATACGTTTTGACACTAGTCATACGCCCTGGGGTACGGAATAGGAAAAAGGGTATTTAATGGGTCTTTGGTGGTGAAAAGTCTGGGACGAAAAAGTGTAATCCCTCATAAAAGATGTATGTGTGAACCTCTAGTCTAAGTCCTAGAAATGTAGTTTCCAATTTAAAAACAGTTTGATATATTAAGGTTTATTCAGGCCTCAACATACGAAACAATTTTTAAACCACCTACTTTCGTTCTAGATTCCCAGAAACGTTTGTTCTAGACTCTCAGATTCTCTTGTTCTAATTTATGTTCTATGCTCTAAATTATGAAAGCTAGTGGCGTATACGTTTTGACACTAGTCATACACCCTAAGGTACGGAATTGGAAAATAGGAATTTAATGGGGCTTAGATGGTGAAAACCCTGGGAGTAAAAAGTGCAATCCCTTAAAAAAGATGACCTCTAGTTTAAGTCCTAAAAATGTAATTTATAATTACAACACATTTTGATTTATTAAGGTTTATTGAGGCCTCAACATACGAAACTATTTTTAACCCCCTCTACTTTTGGTCTATATTCCCTGAAACGTTTGTTCACGGCTCCCAGATTATTTTGTTCTAGATTCCCAGCAAATAGTGGGCAAACTCCTAAAAGTATACTTCACATATATAATTTTCAAAGCGAATATTATTCACAGTAATCATGGCGTATACATGTTGACAATACGTATACGCCTCAATGCATAATTTTAAACATTTTATATTATTTTTCGATTTATAATTCTCCCCGGTCTAATAAATTTTGTATTTAAAAATAATATTTTTAAACAATATAAACCTTATTATCCCAACCCCACAACAGAAATTTTTATTTATTCACATTAATTATGAATACATCAATCATCGGCGCATTATTGTCGCAAAAATCCCCGGCTGTCATCGGTCGCACAACAACAACAACAACAATATTATTATTATTTATAATCACCACACTAAGTGGCTAGTCAATATAATAAAATTTTAATAATGAAATAAAATATCACCTTCAACAACACTGCCACGCATATTTTATTGCAATTTAATAAGCAAATAAAATGCACGGCTGGCAGATTCATTAAAAATCGGCGTTGTTGTCGTTGTCGGCATGACACATAAATTAGGGTTAATTCAGATGCAAACGAGAAACAGATAAAAGCAAACATTTATTATTTTGATTTTAATATTGCTTTATCAGATCAACAGATATATTTGATATTTCCTCTGCGCGAACAAAATTTGGCACACAATGCATAATGAAAATGTTGTTCGTATATACACACACACAAAGATATATCTGTGAATGGCCATAGCATGAAAAAGATCACAAGAAATGAAAAGGAGAAGTCGTGGCAATGGCAGCATCATCATCCGCGGCATCGAAATAACCTGACATACATTTTTATGCCGACTTTCTGGTAATTCAGTCAGCCATTAAGTGGAAAACAACCGTGGCATTGCATTCAATTAATTTTCATAATTATGAAAATGGCCAGACAATGGGAGGAAACCCAAGAAATCCAGAAAAAAAGAATACATGCCTTGTAGCTAGGCTTTAAAAACTATTTTAAAAAATCGACGCCTTGTAGATAGGCTTTAAAAACTATTTAAAAAAATCTACGCCTTGTAGATAGGCTTTAAAAAATATTCAAAAAAATCTACGCCTTGTCGATAGGCTTTAAAAACTATTTAAAAAAATCCACGCCTTGTAGATAGGCTTTAAAAACTATTTAAAAAATCTACGCCTTGGAGATAGGGTTTAAAAGCTATTTAAAAAACCTACGCCTTGTAGATAGGCTTTAAAAAATCTACGCCTTGTAGATAGGCTTTAAAAAGACGACGCCTTGTAGATAGGCTTTAAAAACTATTTAAAAAAATCTACGCCTTGTAGATAGGCTTTAAAAACTATTTAAAAAAATCTATGCCTTGTAGATAGGCTTTAAAAAATCTACGCCTTGTAGATAGGCTTTAAAAAATCTACGCCTTGTAGATAGGCTTTAAAAACTATTTAAAAAAATCTACGCCTTGTAGATAGACTTTAAAAACTATGTAAAAAATCTACGCCTTGTAGATAGGCTTTAAAAACTATGCAAAAAAATCTACGCCTTGTAGATAGGCTTTAAAAACTATGTAAAAAAATCTACGCCTTGTAGATAGGCTTTAAAAACGATTTAAAAAATCTACGCCTTGCAGATAGGCTTTAAATACTATTTTAAAATACTTTTTACTTTTTAAAAATCTACGCCTTGTAGATAGGCTTTAAAAACTATTTAAAAAAATCTACGCCTTGTAGATAGGGTTTAAAAGCTATTTAAAAAAACCTACGCCTTGTAGATAGGGTTTAAAAGCTATTTAAAAAAACCTACGCCTTGTAGATAGGCTTTAAAAAATCTACGCCTTGTAGATAGGCTTTAAAAACTATTTAAAAAGACGACGCCTTGTAGGTAGGCTTTAAAAACTATTTTAAAAAATCCACGCCTTGTAGATAGGCTTTAAAAACTATTTAAAAAAATCTACGCCTTGGAGATAGGGTTTAAAAGCTATTTAAAAAAAACTACGCCTTGTAGATAGGCTTTAAAAACTATTTAACAAAATCTACGCCTTGTAGATAGGCTTTAAAAACTATT